ACAGGGTGTTAAAATTGTAATGGGTGATTCCGGAGGCCAAAATAATACGAAAATCAAGAATACGAAAATGTTGATGGAGGCTTCGTTAAAAAGTTATTATCGTTCAAAGTTCCGCCTGTACTGAATTTTTTTCTCGAAAATGCGCAAGATTTCGGGGGTATGTCTATTCACCAAAAATGATTGTAATTGACCCCCACAACCAAAAATAATTTTTTTAGAACGATTTGAAATTTTTTAATTTAGTCGAAAAATTTCACACCTTCCCGAATTTTTTTCTCGAAAATGGGTAGGATTTCGAGGGTATGTCTATTAATAAAAAATGACTATAATTGATGCCCGCAACCGAAGATAATTTTTCCAAAACGATTTGAAATATTTTTTTCCCGTCGAAAAGTTTCACACCTTCTCGAATTTTTTTCTCGAAAACGCGTAAGATTTCGGAGATATATGTAATGACCAAAAATGATTGTAATTGACCCCTACAACTAAAAATAATTTTTCCAGAACGATTTGAAATTTTTAAATTTCATTGTTAATAACTTTTTAACGATACCTCTATCAACAAATTGATATTCTTGATTTTCGTCTTATTTTGGCCTCTAGAATCCTCCATTAAAATTTTTTCCAGAGTTGTCTGAACACCCTGTATATTATTACTTGCAAAATTCCACTAACATAAGTCCTGCTTTGAAATAACTGCATACAGTTTAGTTTACACACGAATTGCTCGTACTTGGAGGTATGCGAAAGAAACGTGAAGAAATATGTACTGTTTCAGGCAGCGTGTCGGTAGTAGAAAAGGTTTGAGCATTCTCAAAGAAAAGAGTTCCGCAACCAGAATGTGGGTGTTTCTGCGGCGCGTATGCTCATACAAGCTTGCACTTAATAATCGTTAGAAATTACCCATGGGAAAGATCTCGACCCGCTCCAGTCGGCATTTCACGACACAGATAGTTCCGACGAGATTAGAATTCTATCAACGGGATAAACTTGTAATGCCAGCTGGAACGATCTTTACGATTTTCCGATATCCTCGCGTGACTCGCGTACGACCAACAAAATTATACAAATCAAACCATATAAACTACTACTTTGTCTTCTATGGAAATTTATAAAAGTAAACAAATCAAAAATATTTAACAGACCATTTTTATGATTCAACGATGGACAAAAATGACGCGAGAAGTATACCTAGTCAGATAAAATTTCTTCGTAAGAATTTGGGCCGCGGAACAAAGAACGAACGCAAACAATTGCACGGTTGTGCTCGTACAGCTATTCCGGTCGGCTCTGACTTTCTTCGAGTCCCGCATCCCACCCAACTCTACTTACTGTTTCCCCCCACGGTAAAATCCTTTGTAAGAGGGCCCACTAATTTTCCTTATCGAGCCTTCCAGAACGTTATTACCGAAACGTGGTGGAGCATCGGGGTCACGGCCAACGGGGAAAGTTCTCTAATCGCTTCCGTGGAACGGTCCCTTGGGCTCCTCGCCCGTTAAAACATCTGTCAACTGTTAAATAATCTCGAGCTAGCAAATACAAACTAAAACAAAAAAAATTCAATAATAAAGAAATAGAAAATTGAATCTTGGAACGTCAAAGTACCAGAGTTCGATCTTAACTTAACACATTGTTGACCGATGACGAGTTAACTCGTTATTGTACTTGCATTATCTATTTAAATTTAGTTAAATTTTTGTGTAAAATTGCCGGTCGACAATGTGTTAAAATAACCACGCAAAGGTTATTGCATTCGCTATTTTTTATCAAGTTGTATAGCAGTTGGACGACTGTGAGCGTTTCGATTGATGCAATTGCAGAGAACGAACGAACTGGTTTGGCTTATTAAATACTTTTTAAGTGCCTTCGAAGCATCGAGACCGTTTATCACGCTTCTATTTCAATTCGAAAGAGTAGCGTTCTCGCGTAACTTTCGTGAATGCTTCCGACGCGAGAACCAGAATGATTTTTTATTACTCGTGGCCCTGTTAACCCGACCTGGCTGAAATTTTCATACAGCCGCCGCTGGAAAGTTACGAGCCGCGTCTGGTCGATCCAGTTTTCACGATTCCGCGCCCGGGATCCGGATTCGAGCTGAACGAGTCGCGACAAATCGGTCCGCGTTCCTTTCCGCGACACCATCCGACCTCGTGATCGTGATTTTCTATCGATTCGAACGGAAAGTACGCCGCCGTTTCTCCAGCATCCACCACGAACAACCGAACAAAGGGTCAGGAATGATTTATATCCCCTCACTTCGACGGAATATAATTCTAATAATGACGATTCTTTCGTTTCTTCTCAGAGTCCTCTTCAGGGGTCTCATAATTTCTTAAAAAATCTGAAAATAAAACACAAATTGGGAAATTTTCTGTTTCATCTTATCAACACTATTTCTACCAATTCCCACAGTTGTTTGCACCCAAATGTGCATAAATACGACAGAAATAGTGTCACTAATGTAAATCACATTTAACTCAGTTAACAGTTTTACTCACACGGGTTAATAAAAATTCTGTCATGGAAAATCACGCAGCATCCCTGTTTCGTGAAATAGAAAACGAGACACTTCAGTTCAGAGGAAAGAAATTTAGTTTAATGTTATACAGGAATTTTCGAATCGTTCGGAGGTGTGGAATCGCTTTCTTTCGAAGTGGGCGATGACACTGGACCCCGATGCTTTCTCGATGGGGACCCAAATCCGAGAGTCGATCTCGACCTCGACTTTCACCCTCGCGCAAGGTCTAGGACACGCGAGGCGGATCTTCGTTCTGTGAATGAAGAATCCTCTATGGCGTCGGAGGAACTGGTTTAATGGGTCTTCGGCACATCCTGGGTGCACTGACTTCCCCAGCCCAAGTAATTCTTCGCGTTTAACACGTTGACTGCCGTACCGAACTCAAACTGTCCAGGGAAACGAAAATTTGTTATCGAGCAACTGGAAATTAACACAGCTATCATTTGTTGTTGAATTTATTTTTACAGACCCCGTTAAAATTCAAGACTTTTGTCTGGATTTGTTTTCTTTGATATGCAATCTTGAGAATTAATTGTTTTAGCTCCTTAACACATTGACATATTCACCAAGGAGTTAAAAAAATTAATTCCCAAGATTGGATGTGAAAGAAAATAAAGCTAGGGAGGGCCCTTGAATTTTAACGAGTCTGTGAAAATAAATTTAATAACAAATGATGGGTATGCTTGTTTCCAATTGTCTAAAAACAAAATTTAATTTTCCTTTTAATTTTAGGGGTTTGGTCTGGAAGTCAACGTGTTAATGAGAAATCATGTCACTCATATATGAATGACGTGGCAGTCAATGTGTTAAACAGCTTGGGAACGTCGATGAACGACGTACGAAAGTCTCCATGCTCTTCGAAACAGAGATTTGTACTTTGTATTATATTTATTAGTGGTTAAAAATTATATTTCTGGTGGTCGAAGTCTTCTTCCCAAGTGGAGACATTTTATTTTCTTTTTTTCAATGGCTGTAGAACTCTATATTTTCAAATAAAAAACTCTGAAACATTTCCAAGTTTTCCACAGAGATTTTTACTTCTTATTATATTTATTAGTGGGTAAAAATTATATTCCTGGTGGTCGAAGTCTTCTTCTCAAGTGGAGACATTTTATTTTATTTTTTAATGGCTGTAGATTGGAGGTTCTGTATTTTCAAATAGAAAACTCTGAATCATTTCTAAGTTTTCCACAGTTGGCTTCCATACTTTCTCCTCTTCTTGTATAATAATTCCACAAGAAATCTCCGAGCCTACATTGTTGAAAACTTCTATTCAAAGTATGTATTCTTCTACCCAAGTTCTTCAATGATATTTTGTACAAAATAAAGCAAGCATGGTATATGCAAAAATCTAAAACGAAGAACTGGATTTAATGTCCGACGAAATTTCTTTAACCCAGTTTCGACGCGACGTTTTGCATAACGTATCCGGTACAGCGAAGACGTATTATTATTATTTCAAGCGAGTGATTCTCCAGGATTCCCATGTTACGGAATTTCAAAATTAGCCCATCGTTCGCAATCACAATCGGGGGGGGGATTCTGTTCCATTTTCTGCAAATTCAAACGAGCCTCCCTCGTTCCGCCTCGTTGTATCCGTAGGTCGACGTCATTGTCGCAGTTTACCATCAGCCTCCGCTTGTGAAATCTTCTTGTCGTCCCTCTATTTTTCAGTCTCTCGATCCGCTGGCAAATCAGGTCGTATCCAGTCGGTCTCGCCGTTCGGACGTTCGCAACAAAGGAAATTGCGTTAGTGCGGTTGCCGGCGTGTGCGTCACGGCGTGTTAGAAAAATACCTGACAGGAAAAGAAAACGTAAATGTGAGTCAGCATCCCCCGTAGGTCCTGAACCCCGTCAGCGTCGCTAGGCGGTTTCACTTTCACCGTTTCAGACACGCGTCGTTGTCCGAGCAGTCTATTTTTGATCTATAAAAATTCAACGATATTCAACATATATTCCCGGGTTAATTTCATTTCTGTCGATTTTCAACACTGGAACTACCAAACCGATCAAAATGACTCACTGGTAATTTCTAATAGAGCTAAAAATTTACTCGACTGAATTTTTGAAAATTCACAAATTCAAAAAGTTCAATTAAATTTAATTTTCTATAAGAGAATATATAAACACTTATTTCCATTGCATTATATATATTTCTTCGCGTATCTATCGATTCAATTCTTTTGGAACAAATAAACACACTATAATTGTCGGTAGTTCTAGTGTGAAGATTATTATACTCTACGAAAGGTGTCCTCTTGGAATTTGTGCGTAGCTTCTGACTCTTTTTCTTTTTTTTTTTGAGCTCTGAAAGAAAAAATATAACGTTACACATATCCTCTGTAAGAAATTTAAACATCACTCATATTCTGAATTTATTGGGATATAAAATAGTAGAGAAAATTCTGCTGTGAGTTTTATTGCGGGTTTTTCTACGGGAAATGGCAAAGAATCCGAGACCCGTTGGATATTAAAAGCTTTGTTTATTTTTAACTTTATCCCTCTTTTTATATTATGAATATAATAACGACTCATATCACCCTTTGTCATAAGTACATTTTACACACGTGATCTCGTTTCTCGTTCGAGAATCGCAGCCGACCTCGACGATCCGCCGATCGGATCGCAATTGCGTTTTCTATCTAAATCTTATATTTAATGTTCGTTTCCCTAATCGATTAGGAAGTAGACAGACGTGTGCGGAGCTTTGTCGATCGATCTGTCGGGGCCTGGATCAGTGCGTTTTAAATTAAACTCAAAGCAACTTCAAGTATCTTCTATTAATAACAAATTTAAATATCACGTTATAGAATTCTCAATTTTTATTAACTATATAGAAAATTTTCACTCCTCGCTGGGAGTTTCGAAAAGATTGCAGACCAAAAAACTGCGATAATTTATTTGGAAAAAGAAATGGAAAATGATCCAGACGACCCCCGACAGAGTACTCGAGAAAAATATATGCTTCTTGAGTTCGTGAAAATCCAAATCCCATTCTGACCGTTCCCTACCATTGTCTAGCTTGCATCTTAACGACTAAAATATTTTTAACGAAGATTCATAGAACACGAAGAAACTGGAGCATGCAAACTCGAAAGTGCGCGTGGGTGGACAATGATGCGTGATGATGTGTGTATGTTCGTGTGTGCGTGTCCCTTCGCGCTCTTCGCTAGCCTATTCCCCGAAAAACAAAGGATATTCCTGGCCCCTGAAAAAAGCAATCTGTCTAACTTCGGAGCAGAGTCGGGCGAAACTTTACTCGCCAACGACGAATAAATATTACAGACTCGTTCGCGAACTTTTGCCCGTCGCTCGTCCGAATGTGTCAGCCCGACGAATTTGTTAATGTATTTTAATTCACGAACGGATCTAAAACTTCCATTCGTTGTTAGCGAATTGGATTAAATCGACTCTGTTTCGGAGGTGCCAGGACTGGATCAACTTTTCCCAGTTAAAAATGATGCAAAGCCCACGAAAACAATCAAATATTGCAACTTTGAAAGCTAAGTCTGTTTAAAAATGTTCATAAAAATATTTTACCCTCCTTGGGGTATTAATTATCGGTTGAACGATGTGCATTAGGGCATCTGTTGGCGTTAATCCGGTCCTGGGAGGAACGATACATTATTAAAAGGAACGGTGGGACTTTGAATCGCTTCGAATTGGTTCGAATAGCTTCGAATCACTTTGAATCGCTTCGAATCACTTCGAATAGCTTCAAATAGCTTCTAAACGTCACTTCGAATAGCTTCAAATAGCTTCAAATAGCTTCAAATAGCTTCGAATAACTTCGAATAGCTTCGAATAGCTTCAAATAGCTTCGAGATGCTTCGAAACACTTTGAATCGCTCCGAATAGCTTCGTAATGCTTCGAATCACTTCGAATAGCTTCAAATAGCTTCAAATAGCTTCTAAACGTCACTTCGAATAGCTTCAAATAGCTTCGAGATGTTTCGAATCACTTCGAATCACATTGAATCGCTTCGAATAGCTTCGTGCCGCTTCGAATCACTTCGAATAGCTTCAAATACCTTCAAATAGCTTCGAATCACTTTGAATCGCTTCGAATAGCTTCGTGACGCTTCGAATCACTTCGAATAGCTTCAAATAGCTTCGAATAGCGTTCCAAGTCCCATCACCGTTTGGAAGTACAAAACTGGAAGAGTAGAAAAACGATACGGTAGAAAGTGAACGGAACCGCGAGACATCTGTCGGATGTTCGATTTTGCTGACGCCTGTAATACTGACGCGGTCGACGGGCGACCATAGGCGTCATCATGCTCGCGGTAACGCTGTGTCCGCAGCCCGAACAACGAGTGTAAATTGTTTTGGGAAACGGGCGTTTCGCTAACGTTGCAGCCAGACTCATCAAGAGTTTCGATCCCGTGGCTCGAAACAGCGTGGAACTTTTTCAATAGATTCCATTTGAGACCGTTTGGAACTTTTATAATAACGGTTCTCGTATTGTAAGTTTCCAGGAGACCAGATAAATAAGAGTCCTACGAAATAAGAGTTCTAGTTTGAATAAAATTTTTAAGAAATAGAAATAAAGGCTGCCAAGTAACAAGAGTGGCCTGGAAGTTGAAAGTTTTGCAATAGTAGTTCTTGCATTATGGGTTTACGGACAAATAAGAGTTTTTGGGCATTTATTAATTTGAGATTTTAATTATTTTTACCACCTTAATGAAGCTGGCTGCTAAGTTAACGAGAAGCCCGAATCGTTTTCCAACAAGATACTAACGTTATCTTCGAAAATTCAAGACGAACACGCGTAAACAATTCAACAATTTATTAGAAGAAATCGAACGTTATAAACGTCAGCTGAACATCGCGGTGCCTACAATAAATGAAATTCGCTAGGAAGAATAACAATTTTATTGACTGAAGTAGCATATGTTTAAATTGAAACATTCGACATGCAAATTGAACAATACAATATTATCATAAAGTATAAAAAACCTCTTTATACACATTATTACTATGAACGATGAAGAAGTTTCAGTCAGCTTGGGCGATGAAAAAGACCATATATGTATATATTCGACAAAATTTGAAATCCAGGCGAAGGATGCACGGCAAATTCGCGACTTTCGTATCTTAAAATTTAAGAGAAAAGTTTCATATACTTTCCAGGGGACAGCTCAGCGACTCCCCTGCCTAAAAAGTGAACGAAAGTAAAAAAAAAAGAAATTCAACGACGTACCCAGACGATTTTAATAAAAGGAATGATCTCAGGGAATGACTGTACAAAACGGATCGACGCGCCGCGTGTGATTTAAGACGATCGCTCGAAACGCAAATAATTGACATTCTTTCGTAAAAAGCACATCCTCGAACGCCAAAAGAAAAACACACTCCCCGGGTTTCTGTCGTCGAAATTTTAAATCACACGACGGACGTACCTAAAAAAAAAAGAAGAAATTGATTCAAAGTATCACAAGTATCTCACTTACTAAGAAAGTTCGTTGACTAGATGACAAAAAGAATCGCCCCTCTTTCCCTCTTTCTCTATCGTCTCAGTGTTCGCGTGTAAAATGTTCAGTGTGTTCGTGAATACTTTTTGCCTGGATCATAGGCCCCCGGGAATCGGCGATCAGGAACAACAATGATTTTTATTCTCGACCCCATTTGACCCTCTGAAGCGCGGAGACACGCGAGCTCGCGTTAACGCGAGAGACAATTGCGTTTTTCCTTCGCCAGCCGATCGATGAGAGATAAAATTATGGTAAGAGCACTTTTATGTAAGCTCTCGCACGATTTCGTTGCACGCGCGCGCGCTAATGTCGCGTTTCGCGCGCAGACGATTTCACAGATAGCCGATTACATTATCCAACAGACGTAGATATCATAACAACGAGTAACAAGCCGCGGGTAAATGCTAACGAGTCTCTGAACCCTTACGATACGATCGATAAAATTACTTTGGAAAGAAGAAATTGCAAATATTAAATAACGCTTCAAAGAGTCAAATATTCTTCGAGCGACGTACTCGACTGGTATTCAAAACTTTTGAAAATTATAAGAATGAAACATTCTTACAGCAATAAACAAATGTCGAAATATATTTCTTTGTAAATTCACGATATCTTTGCGAAAGTATTATTAATAGATTCGCGAGGTCCTCCCGATGAAAATGAGTACAAACACGACCTATCTCGGATCACTTTTACCAACACGTGATTAATAAATTATTGGAACAACGTATAATTAAAAATGGTCCGATTTAGGTCGTGTTTGTACTCGTTTTAACGAGAAACTCCTCGCGAATCTATATCGATAGTACTTTTGCGAAGATTCTACTATACTATAACAAATATCGAAATATATTTCATTGTAAATTCACGATATCTTTGTGAAAATATTATTAATAGATTCACGAGGTCCTCCCGATGAAAATGAATACAAACACGACCTATCTCGGACTACTTTTACCAACACGCGATTAATAAATTATTGGAACAACGTATAATTAAAAATGGTCCGAGACAAGTCGTGTTTGTACTCGTTTTAACGAGAAAAACCTCGCGAATCTATCGATAGTACTTTTGTAAAGATTCTACTGTACTATAAACAAAATGGAAACAGATTGTTCAAAAGTTTTGATACAGCCAGTACATTCGCATCATGGCGTGGAATCGTGACACAACAATGAGAAGATCGATGACGAGAGATTCGAAAAAGCGGCGTTCAAAGTTCGAGTGTTAGAAAAGCGAAGAAATGGATCGGCGATATCTCCCCCTCCTCTTTTCAGCTTTCTCATCGGCTGGCACGAACCGTAAAATCGCGGTTAGGAATAATTAATTCCGTGCGTCGATTCCCTCCTCGAGCATGTTCCTCGCAATATTTAGTTTAACAAGTTGTAATCGCTACGAAATATGTATTCATCGAGCTCTTTGAAACGTAATCGCGAAGACACGTTCCTTCGCCGCCATTTTGGTTGCCCTCGGACCAGGCCAAACTATTTGTAGCGTTAACAGAAGTTTCTATTAAAATTATAAGTACCTATTGTAATTTAAGTTTCTATCAAAATTATAAGTAATCTATTGTGATAGATTATAGATATTTTAACTATTAATACACTGATCGCCATGTAAGTTATTGGACGCTACGTACGAGTAAATAATGTATAATAAATGTCCACGAAAAATATAATCAATATGCATTGGAAAACTGGATATTTGTTTACAAAAAATGGCGTCTAGTAGGACTATTATTACCAAATGTTATTTCGCGAAGCAAAATAACAAAGTAACGTGTTATTTCATAAATGCCCGAGTCCGTACGCTTCGCGGGAGAACCATGGAAGAAAGAAGAAAGGTACTTTCGAATAATTAGTCGTCCCCGAGCGAAACATCTTATTTTTCTACGTACGTTTCAAAGAGTCGTTACAACAGTGTCCTGTAATTACGACATCCATAAATCCTTGATCTAATTTCCATCGACTAACGCATACTTCAGCCGTGATGTCTGTAATATATGTCTACGAATATCACTTTCGCGACGACGCGAGCCCGTAACCATCCGGAAGTGGTAATAAAATATACGGAAGTAACGTGGTGTTTTTTTTTACAACGACAGTTGGAATTGCGTAATCGCGTAGGAATGAAACTGGCGCAAAAAACGTTAGCGTAATATTCGGAACGAAGAAAGTCGCAGGAGCAGGCCCTGGAACCGTTATCTAATCGGCGACCAAGCCTGAACTATCGTCGCGGGAACGACAATGGCCATTATTGTTAGAAAAATAGTAACCCTACTCGCCGAACAAACTTTTTCCTCTTTCGTCGAGTTTCTTCGGCGATTTCTTCTTTAATTTTTTTCAACGACGAACACCGTCCAGCATTTATCGACAAAAACTCTACGACGAATTCGCTATTATTCTTTTTTATTTCGGGAGGAAGATGATCTGATATGTTCCTTGTTATTCTGAAAACGTTTAATCGTACTCCAGAGATTGCTAGGCGAACCACGCGATTTGTCGCAACTTGTGGCATGATTCAGAAGGTTCTTTGAGATAATATTAAACTTTTTGTAAATTCTCAAGATCGCCTTCAATGTTCGTCGACCTTCGAACAACCTTGCGCGTGAGAATTTATTTCGAAGAAACCTAACGTTCTAAATAGATATCAATAGTTTCCCCAAAGTCACTCGAAGGTCATGTATTTTTTAATAATTGAAGGAGACATTGAAAATTTATAAGAGAAAGAATTACAGGTATAAAATCTAATGTTATCGTTTAGGAGGATCTTATGAACCATGCCCATCCGTGATAACGAAATTCTGGTTAGTCCAGTGATAGGAAAAATAATAATCGTGTGGTTCTCCCTGTATAACAGTTATGGGTTACGCTGAAATCACAATAATCTATACCGTATAGCGTAGATTCAAATTACTCTTCGAATAAAAATTAAAATCGAACAAATTTAAACGTAAACGATTATCAGTGATTTCAACGCGTGGCCAAGTGGTTATATTATAAATGTGACGAGTGTTCACACTCGTTCGATCTCGCGTTCTGTGTCACCATGCTCGAGGAGATCGCCTAACGCGTGAACGTGTGCGTTGGAACGAAGAATTCGATAATTATTAAATACTATTAATGAGAATAACGTCGAGACACATCGTGGTATCCCAACGGGTACGACTAACATCTCGTTTCACGAACGACGAACGCAGCTTTCGCCGCGAGGTAGAGTACAAAAACCGAATAAAAGCAAACCCGACGTTCGAACGTTTAAACAAGCGATCGTTCGTTCGTCGTTCCTGAAACGCAAACAAACAGCACGCTAAAGCGAATTCGCGATGCTGTCGCCGTGAACAACGCTATCTGTCATTTAATTTTATTATTTTTTTTCTTTATACCTTTATATCTCTCATTCAGTGGTAACGATTTTTTTTTCTCTCTCTCTTCAGCAGCTACATCTACGACACCGATGGACGAAACGGATCGACGAGGATAACCCTAGACGGGAATTATTCTCGCATTTGTTAAATACTCTATGTTGCCTCTTCTCCGTCGATATTGTTAGCTAATTCATTTTCTATAAAAAAGTTTACCGAACGAAAGGGGGAAACGATAAAAACCTAAAACGAAAACGTCGCGTTTCTCGCTTGTTTTGATACGCTCGAAAACGCGGTCATCCCCGTCACGAACGGGACTGCATACTTTCAAAACACGTTTTGTCGATTCGCGTCTCGCTTCGAATGCTTGTCGACAGGGAGGTCAAACGTTTCGAAGAAATCGTAGCGCGTTTCGTTTATTTGCCCCAACTGGCTGGAAGTTTGTGCCTCTCGTTCAACTCGTTTCGTGGGAACCTGCTTGGGTTTCACGATTTCCCCAGAAAAGATTCATCTGTTTCCGTAGACAGGACACAGATAGTAAATATCGCGGCAAATTCGACTTCCCTGTCGACAACATATCACGTACGAATCCATCGTGGCCATCTTGGGCCCAACGATTCGATAAGACTACGGTTCCTCTTTAAATATAACACCATTCTTCCTCCATAAGCTTCCCTCGATTCTCACGAATTATCGAACGAAAAACTAGCAACAATTTCGCGTGGTATGTCTCGGATAAATTTACTCCCCTAAAGCTCCGTTGTACTGTTTTAAATATCACATTGCAATCTTTCGTCCGCGCTGTTACCCACCATTCGATTACAACGATCTCTTGTAACTAGTTTATAGAAAATATTTGATTAAATAGATCCTCACCACTGTTCAGTTTTCGATATGTACGTTGAATCAAATTTCATTTCGCAGACACTGTTGCAAAAATGGTTCTTGTTCGATTATCTCCTGCAAAAATTCAAGATCAAACTCTGTTTATAACAACAATACAAAGTATAAATATTTATCAAATTTCATTAGCGACTCGAACACAAAAATCGATTTCCTTGCAAGTATCCCTAACGTAATTCCACTTCAGGATTAAAGTAATTCGATTTCCCCGGTTATCTGTCGCGATACGATTTCACATAACCGGGTACCGCCGTAATTTGTAGAAACGCGCGATGATACAAACCCTGTGCGACAGTCACGTCCAAGACATACCACGCGGGGTGTTCGTACTCGATCAGAGATAGTGGAAACTATAGTTTCATCCCCTCTAGCTAGAACTCTACAAGTGTAAACGTAGGTTTCTCAGTCCATGTCGATCACATCCGGATTCTCCGCTGATCCCTTGCGCTGACGCGTCTTCCGGCGCAACAGGACCGTCCTCAGGATGCTCGGTGATCGTAGACCCGCGACTTCCGGCCGCGGGGCTGGCTGCTACGCGGCCTTTTGCCTCTTCCTCTGCTCCCTTCTCGTTAGATTCGAGTGGCCCGGACTGCCCGAGGTGCCGCTCCTCTCGCAGTCGGCGGTCGACAACGGTTTCAACTCCCTGCGGAGAGAAAATATTTTCAAAATGCCTCCTTCATTTCCTTTAACGCCAATATTATTACCGTAGACACGTGAATACAGACAATCGGACGAACGGGGGGTTTTAATATTTTCAACATCGAAAGCCAGGGTTTACGAACGTGGGGGAATCTTAATTTATCTAACAAAGAGGATTTCACACGATCAATCGTTTTGTCAGTGAATTATCTTAGACGATAGCTCTTGTCGAGCCTTATTATTTACAAAGTGAACAACCTGGGGTCGAAACATTGAAGATGCATGCTTGAATCGTGAACAAATTCTTTACCGATTAGAAAATACTGAGAAAATTGACAAATATACGTGAGCAAATGTTTAATAAAGCGAGAAGACTCGGGAGTCGAAACACTGAAATTGCATGCTCGCATTACAAACAAATTGTTTATTAAGGAATTTTATTTCTGTGGAAATGAATGTTTTGTGAATGTAAATGGGTGAAGATTGAGTAGACAGTGCTATTACTGGTGTTTTTAATACGTGTTATACCTACTGCTGGGTGTTTGATTCGTGTCTGACTGTAAAGTGTAAATGCTCTCTTAACATCGACGGTTTCCTATTTATATATTCGTTATTATTGTGTGAGTGTATCGAAATATGTTCTAGAGTGAATCCCTACACAAAATCCAAACAATAAATCAAACAAAAGATATTTGCTCTCGAAAGATCGTCGCAAGTACGCGCGTTGCGTATTTTTTAAAAAAGACAAGCTATACTTTTGTTTTCGTATCTCAAATACAATTTATTGTCTCAGTAGAATTCGATCTTACCCAGGTTCTAACAGATGCACGGATAGTGTCCTCTCAAAATTTCTGTTTATTGCCGTCCAAATCGCTGGATCAGATAAAATTTGGAAAATGTATGTTTTTTTTAACATCTCGTTGATTCAAGACTGTTTTTTTAATTATAGATACCTTTCAACGAATTACTTTGTCTGTATCGTAAATAGGTAACCAGTGTATACGTATCGAGAAAAGTAATATTGAGTAAAGTCGGTGTTAATCACCTGTAGTTAAGTAGCTCCTCGTCGTCGGGCACTCTGGACACAAGATCGAGGACCTCGTTGTTCGGGACCGAGTGAGGTCGCACGATCTTTCTGGAGAACTTATTCACGCCCCAGGCCAAGATAAGGTATCTGACGGGGATGAAATATAGAACAGTGGCCGCGAGGATCACCAGCATTATCGCCAAGTAACTCAGATAGGGGACAGTGAAATTGAAGAGATTCTTCACCCTCTCGCAAAGGCTGGCTATGTAGCCGATTGAATTCTGAACGGTTTGGGTCACCTCCTGTATCGCCTGCAATCTCTCCTTCAGACTTTTCTTCTCTTCCTGAAACCACGTGCATCAGACGCTCGCACAGTATCGAAAATAAACGTAGAAAAATACGAGGCAAACTATAAAATTTAATAAATCGAAACTCACTTTATCTTTGTCGTCGTCGTCGTCGTCGTCGTCCCCCGGTGTGGTCGGACCGTCGTCGCCGTCGTCGTGGAAATGGGAGCCCGCGTAATGGGACAGAGACGTGCCGGTTATCACCGCGACCTGTCCGGAAATCCATTCATTCAGCCCACTTCCGTCTTCGTAAAGCTGGGCGGAGTAGCGAAGAAGGTGGGCGCATGCAGCGATGCAGGCATAAGGTCGTCAAGCGTTCAACTCGTGTACAATTTATGTGCATGTATTTCGGATTACTAGTGTATTGATTAAGCTCCAAGACTAACGAAAGCTCAATAATTGATATAGAAAATTGTTAAAAATTCTACGGATACGGTTGCTGGTCGATCAAAGATCTACGCTCATGCTCGGTTTAAATTTCAATTAGCTCGGGAAGGAAGACACTAATCTCTATTAAGATTTAACGAATGTGCACCTCCACCTCGCTGAACAGTACACGGAGGGTCTCTTCTAAAAAAACAGTTTACGAACTTCTTAAAAAATGTATTTTTTAATGGGTGTTCTACTATTAACGTTGCAATCGTTACCGAATAAGGATTTCTACGTTAGTTCGGGTTTCCTATAAGCACTAATAGGTTAGCAAAGATCGTCGAAGAGCGAAAAATGTGATTAAAGATGATCAGTGGTGAAGAAGGTAATATCCTTACGTACCAGATAATATCTTAACAGAATAAGTAGCGCCGCGCCGGGGATCATGTAAGGCTCGAAGTAGTAACAGGCAAGAATGAAGAAAACCAAGGCGATGATGCTTCTCATTTTACTCTCCCATTCCCAGCAGCTCCTAATTACATCAACTTTAAAATTAAACGAGCCAAATTATAGTTATTAAATTGAGGAAGACGAGACACGTACTGCACGTATTTTCCAATGTCGATGAAGATTATGATGATGGCCTTCAGCCTGAGAACGTTTCGCAGAAAGACCTGCCTCTTGAACTTTATCTCAGGCTCCATGTACTTCTTCTCTTTGGGATTCAACGTTCGAACGCAGGCCCTGAACACGTTCCAAACGACGGTCATCTCCAAAAGTATTTGGGGCGTGTTGCCCTTGGCCCTGCCTCTCAGTTTCTTGTCCTTCAACGCGTACCACCTCTTCTCGCCGTTTCTGATTCTCAGCAGCGGTATGGCGACCTTGCCAAGAAACTCTACTTTATGGTCCCTGTCCTCGTCGTACACGGTCACCTCTAGCACCGAATTTATATCCTTCACGTTACTGAAAATGCATTATCACGTTTTTAATTACTTTACTCTGCAACGAAACTGTGATCCAAAATTTGATAGAAAAACTCGGGTCACAGTTTCTGGCTTTTAAAACCTTAAAACAGATTTTAGACAACTCACAAAGTGAAGATCTTTTGCCAGTTTGGCGCGAGCGTCTTGTACTCCGTTTGAGTCTGCAATCTGGCGTTCACCAACTCGAGGACGCAGAAGGGATCGCTTTTACCCCCTAGATCGGCTGCAGCGAGACCCTGGGCCCTGAATACCTACACAGTTGCAAATATATAGGGAAGTAACAATATTTTTTATCACTTTTCGTCGTTCGATATACTAGTCCCTCGATTATTGCACAAATTTTTATTTCACAATGGTTTCGATACTATAGTGGTTGAGGCTACAAATATACGTTATCGATAGCAACGTGAATACATTTCCACAACCTGGAAACGGTCCAGAAACGAACCCCACAATCCTCGAACCTAGATTGTGATAATACTGATCTTACTCTGAAAATAACAGTGTAAATTGCTTCTTGGAAACCATAGTTTGAGGAATAATCGAGGAACGCCAGAGCAGATTCGAGCCAACTACCTTCACTGTCAGATGGCCAACGTCTCGTATCCTCTGCAACGTGTTCATCACGGCGTACCTCTGGTACATCTGTTCGCGTTCGCGAGGCGTTTCCTCGTGAGCCGCCAGATCGCTGATGGTTTCGCTGGCGGTGGTACCACTGATCGTCAACAACAAGAAGATGCTACCGGAGCCCTCCTCGAGGTCACGCCACAGCCGATGAGTAGTCTCGCGTTCGAGGGTCGCCAGATCGATCACCGTCCTCCCCATCAGATCGTCCTGATGACTTTTGTCGCGGTCCCAAACCGTCACCTCCAGCTCCTGGCCCAAGTACGGGTCCTCGTACAGATGGAGGTCGAACTGCTCCAGCCAGACCGGGCTCAGGGTCTTGTGCACCACTTTCGACTTGTACTTCTCCGTTCCCAATCTGTACCAGCGAGGAACGATCGATTTTACGACAGGGAGAAGCGACATTCGACAGAATGATAAATAATTTCATACCGAAACTTGACGTAGGGATCCGACAGCCCGTCTATATCCATCGGCAGCAGATTCTTCGCCTCGACCAGAACGATCGTCACCACGGAGCTCCATATTTGCGATTTCAAGCGTCTATTTACGTCCGCCAATCGATTGGTCCGTTGGAAGTACTGCAACAGTGAAAATAAGGCATATTCAAATGGCCCTGTCTTCGTAAAAGATATCACATACGATATTAAACGGAGGAGCAAACTAGTTTTAGGTAATTTTATTACAAATGGTCTACACAAAGTTCCAAACTCTACCCTATGGATATCTTCCATTTTCTCCTTAACATTGTCTCTCAGCTTGTCGAAGAGATCCTGATGCTTGGCGTCTTTGGCCTCCAGGGCACCATCCACCTTCGCCACATTGTCCTCGTTCTTCCTCAACCTCGAGATCAACTGACCAGCGTCGAATCCCGTTCTCTCCGATTTCGGGGAGTCCTTCTTAGGCTTCTTCTGGATCTCCGCTCTGCTCTCCAACCCCTTCTCCTCGGTCTCGTTCTCCGTCGCGTTGTACCTAACTTCGAAATTCGGGTCCTCGCTCGATCTCTTCGCCGACTCGGAGACCTTGCAACGATCGACGATCCAGGCCTCTATGGGCAACAGCCACGGATGCTTCTGCACGTTCTCCTCCAGTATCCTCTCCATGTGATCCTCCAGCATCCTCTCCACAGAGCCCATCTTCTTCTCGAAGGAGGACTTCAACGAGCCGATGGTCCTCTTCTCTTTGATCTTAGCCGGCTTCTCGATCGACAGACCCTCCACGGATCGACAGACCTTCGTCCCGGACGATCCAGCGTTCTCCATCTTCGCCCTCAGGTTCTCCAACGAGCTCCATCGTCTCGAGGACGGATCGCCCCTGATCGTCGACAGATTTCCCTTCTCGTCCTCGAGATCCACGAAGAAATTGCTTTCAGACGCGGTATTTTCGTCTTTTTCCGCATTGCTTCGCGACGCGTCCTCGGATCTGGTCTCGGAGGCATCTTGATCGGCTGCCAGAGTCTCGTTGTTGCTCGACGACTCCTCTGGAATGTTATTTTGGTAATCATTTACCGTGTTAACGACCTCGTTCGTTTCCACGACCTTTGGTGGAGGGGAATTTTCATTTTCATTCGTTCGCAATAATGAATCCAAGAATCGTTTATTTCAAGACTGACTTTGATTTTCATAAAATGTACCGCGACTAAATAATTCTCCATTGCGCTTAAAGATCGTCGAAATCGGCCAGTGAACGCGGTAAACGATTACCATTATTCGCGTGGGTGGTTTTCTCGTTCCCATCGAGGTCCTCGAATCGATCGAATCGCATGGCTCTGATAGCCTCGCGAAGAACAGCCTCGGCCTCCACGTTCGCGTCCTCCTCCGGTCGATGTTTCGCCTCTTCCTCGGATTTATGCTTGAACCTGTCCCTGTTGCTCTCCCAAAACTTCTTCCATTTGCTCTCCGCGTTCTCCTCGCTCGAGCCTTTCTTCGCGGACTTCGAAGGAATCCTCGCAGAATTGTTTTCCGCGTCCGATGGCTCCTTGGAGATCGCGTCCGCCACTTTGTCGCGTCTCTTCAAACCACGTTTCGGAGTCTTCGGGATCTCCAGGGGCTCGCGATCCAACGATCCAGCCTCGATCTCCGCGGCACGATCGCTCGTCGACCGACTCATGATCTTTAGCGTTTAATTTACTTCGAATGCTTCCTCCCTCGAAAAGGGATGGAGATTCGTTCGATTTGCATAGAGAAAGATGGGTTCGATGATCCCGCGGGTTCCTCGAACATTCGTTCTCGTGTTACGCAATGGACAAGCAGTTTCTTCGTTCCGTACACACGCGACCACCTGTCCGCATCTAATTGCAGAGTTCCGTGACTCGACGAGCTTGATTCGTTCCGAAGACGGTGCAAACGTGCATTGTCGTGGGTCGTTTCTCGCTATCTTCGACACTCGACTGTCCAAAGGGTCGTAGCGTGTACCACTTTGTCTTCTAAGGGCGCGGGAAAAGGCTGCGGATAATGAAACGCGACGTTTCTGCAATCAGTGTCGGAATGCAGGAGAGAATCGATCTTCGATAACAAGGTTCCCGTCGTCTGGAGGTCAACTTTCCCCACGTGCTGATCCCCACAGAGAAAAAGAACAGTCGATCTCTACGCAGACGACTCGGAACCTTTGTGCTCGCGAGTTCGAACCGCGTCTTGGCCCGACTCCAAACCCAAAAAGAAATTGCCTCGAGGACGTCGACGAATCGCGAATGGCCGATCTCGTGCTCTGCTTAAATTTTTTAGGGATCTGTCTCGTTCGAAATTTTGTTAAACACTCGAATCTTGAAATCGAAATTTCATTTGGATTCGAGAAGAACGATAGGAGTTTAAAATTTAAATTTAAATTGGTTCGTTACAAGACCATTAACGCGTTATTAATGTGTATTTAACGATGTTGTCGAATCGAATGGCCATCAATGTTTTCACGAAGCGTCAAGTGGATATCGATTAACTAATTTTGTAACTAAATGTTTGATACTGTTCGATAGTGGATTATAAGTTACGGTTTGATACTATTGATTCGATACCGGTTCTATTATTAATATTATTAGTATGTGGCACGACAGAGACTTCGTTTTCTTGAAACTTTCATAATGTTGCATTTATAGCAAATGTCGTCAAGCATACCGATTTGACAATATGGACAATGTGCAATTATATCGACAATGTACCGTATTATCTTCGCTTTGGAGCGTTTCTCAAACCTGGAATGTTATGGCAATGGTCCAAGAGCTCCTAAGAGAAGAAACTTGCAAAAAATTTGTTAATTCTGCTTGACCTTCGCCTTGTGGCACACTGTCTTGCAACACAATGACATTTCATGTGCATAATGACATAATTACAGCGATGCAAAAACACACCGGAAGTGACTGTACTTTTGCAATAGCGGCCGGCAGAGAATAGGCACACCTAATGGATTTTGCACATCTGTGATTATACTTTCATGAGAAATACAAATTTTTTCTACAATGGATGATGCAAGTGATCGCTGCTATTGTGAAACGACAGTCGTCAACGTCCAATTAAAATATTTACATCGATCAGTGCGCACGTAAATAATGAAATTACCAAAACATTAGAAAAAAAAACGAAATCTGAAAGTCGAGTTATGTTTCACCAGACAATGAAGATGTGGCCCGGCGATCTATTGCAAAACGATGTGAAAGGAGAAAAGTGGGTTAGAAAAATTTCACAACGTAGTTTTCCTATTGTAATCGAGTGAATAAGGCCCAAAATCGCCGGGTTTCTCACTGAGAAAGAAGCCTCGTAAATCGCGTAATTTTTAGGACTTCGAGGCAAGTCAGACCCCCATTAACCGGACCACTTAAACCAATGAATCATCGAACGGTCGACGGCGCACGTGGCCGAGCATCGTCGATCCAAGTCCGTCGCGGCGCGGATGGATCGCTTCGCTCCATTTCCCAACCTAGCGTCGTTCCTCTTCCTCTTTTCCGCCATTCAGGGCCAACGTGAACGCGTCCACGCTGACGTACGCCGGGGCACTTTAACCGTCTACGCAAATGACGAGTGTATCCGCCGCAGACAATGAGTTACGCGAACGAGGGCTCCCTCGTACCTTCCGCGGAAACTACGGAATAGCTTTTTCCATTAATTAATACGCCTCGATCGCGTACGTCCTCCAAACGGACAACCATTCCATACGGTGCTTACATTAATCACGATTACACAAAATACAAAATAAAGATCGAGAATATCGATCGTTATTGATATCTCTTGACTCGTGTATCCTCGTACGATCTTCCTACGTGTTTACATCGTCGTAGGAAGGTATTGGTATCGTTCGATCGTGTTTCTTCCCTCCGGATTTGAGGTTAGCAACCCCTCCGTGCGGGGCTCCGTTCGTTGCGTTCGCGGTGCACGCTGAACGCACGCCCATGGGCGTTTCACGCACGCCTCGTGCTGCTCGAACGAGCACTTTAGCGCAGATTCGTGGAAAACGCTCTGGCGTCGCGTATACGTTGTTGGAGGCGAGGTCACGGCCGTAATTAAAGCGCGAGGCGATAAAAAAAAGACGCGAAAGTACACAGCTGAGGCCGAGGACTCCCGCACTTCCTCGACGGTCGTGTGCGACTGGTTAACGATACGGCTTAACTCGGCTACCAAGCCTCTCTATCTCCCTCTCCACTCGCGCCAAGAGGTAAACATTGCGATACCCCGTGTGGAAAATTCAACGTGTGGTCGACCCGCGTGTAACACTCGACAGCGTACAATCATTGTGTCATCGCGTTACGTTTCTTTGATCTTTGTCGACACTTTTTTTTTAAGGCAAGGTTGCCATATATTAACCTCTTAGCTACGAGGCCTGGCGTCGTTCCTTCGTGACGAGTATACTCGTCGTTCGCAGCTGAGAGGTTAACGAGATCAAAGCAGCGTTCTGTTCCTGAGATCCTATGTTTATATACAATATTTGAGGAGGTTAAAGAGGGTCACGACTTGGAAGGTGAATAGTACTCGCCAAAATGGAGGAAATTAATATTCTCGGAAGTGTTCGTTTATTTGTGCTATTTGCCAGGGCTTGTGATCAAGGATTATTTATCTGTAATTTTTAATGTTCCATAACCCCGAACAAGACCACATATTGTGTCGGTGCATTAAACGTGCTAATTGCCCGACTACGAGTTGCTAATTAATTCCAAGAAAAATATTATAGAGCGAAGAAGGCAAAAACTATACTCATCGATCGAAGAAACAGAGTAGAAATGAATAATAAGGATAGTGTTGGTGAGAAAATTTGATTTGTTAACGAGAAGGCGTTGTTAGGGAACAAAGATGTCTTGGACAATTTCTCGAGTCGCCGAGGAATTGCGACGTCCCAGCATTATTCAATTAAAGTTCGTTTAACACCCTGTTAAATCCACGTAACACACTCGCGGTTGATAGATACTACGTTACATAAAACAACTCTCGTGATTCAGCCGTGAAATCAAACGATTCCGCTTCTCGATTCGATCGTGGGATAAAACTTTTCCACCTACTCCATTACGTTTAACAGACTGAAATCGAACAGTCTTTTCTCTCTGACCGTTCCAAATTACAGAAAAATTGTAGACAAAACCGTGTTATTATAATTCGACTGAAAATACTACGGATGCATTAAATTGTCTCAGAGATATCACAAACACACAGAGCCTGAACGCGAATAGATGCCTGCAATATCGATATGCAAAATGGCGCTACCTGACTCGAAAATTGTCAACTATTTTGCCAAAAAAATTGGACATCTGGATCGAGCAAAAATAGTAGAAGTTATAGGGTGATCAAATTTAATATCTATTTTATCCAAAGATGCAAAATTTAATGTTCGAAGACGTTTATATCTAAACTACTTCGCCCAAAAAAATTGGGCATCTGGATCGAGCAAAAATAGTAGAAGTTACAGGGTGATCAAATTTAATATCTATTACGTCCAAAGATGCAAAATTCAATGCTCGAAGACGTTTATATGTAAAGATGATAATATTTATTATAACATCGCTGTACCACTTTCTTTTATCGTCGGGCGTAGAAATGTGACTCACGTTGTATAAATAATTGCTTGTATTAAAATCTTGCGCAAGTGTATGACAACGTGAATTCGCGTAACCGGTTTACACAATTTCGCGTCCAAGTCAGATTACAAAATGGCGATCGTCGTTACATCCGTGGTGGACTGGGAGCGGTCCTCTACATTTTCTTTATCGCCAATATTGATCATGACATTAACGTGACACATAGTGAAACCCTTCTGGCGCGCGATTGTGACCGCAGAAACAGGTTCATTCAACGTGTTTGCAAAGCCAAAGCGGAACGATGACGGACGTTACGCGACGGATTACAGTGCATACACATTTATATTACGTCACTTCGTGTACCAGCCAACGAGACACGCTGTGTATGGGTCATTCAACGCGAAATCGGACACTTTTTAACGTAACGTCGCATAATTCGCGCTGGAACACGTTCCGCGCTTCAAAAACGTTCGAACGCGACGCGAATGATTTTTCGAAATATCGTACGAGTTGCTCCTCGGTATCGAACGACTCATCGAGCATCGTAAATTCGATATTTCAATATTTAAATCACAGTTTCAGATTCCCTATGGGAAAACTGTTTACGTATACGTGCTTGCATATTTAAATATTTATTTTTGACATGACCAGCAACGTGTACCGCTTTAGTTTTAAAATACAAAACGTTCAGTGACTCATTGACTACGAATTACATTTGTCATCGCGTGGAACAGCTATGCGTAAATAAACATACACGAAAATATAGAACGTTAATTTCAATTAATTCTCTCGACCGATTGCCACTTCAACGGTTGTAATTTATAATGAATTTTCAGTTTGAAAAACCCTTTGATGGGAGTTTAAATATCGCTGAAGATCGCGAAGTATTCAAGTTTCAGGAAAATCTGAAATTGTACTTCATAGAGGGTTAAATTTCCGCGTGAAATGACCCTTATGAGTCAGGAGCTTCGTAACCTCGTTTAGGCTATTAACACTGCTCGACTAAGTGGACTTCCCTCTTGTTTCGTCCTGGACAACCTAATCAGCTCCCAAAGGTGTACCTTTATACGAAACTTTTAAAAAGATTTCACGTACAAATTAACTTGGCTCCATACAGTTTTAATTACCAATAATTTTCTATAATATTTCATAACCTCGTAGCTTTTCAGTTTACGTAACAAAATGGTGAATTAATTTACAACTGTTATAAAATTCTCTGCAATGTAAAATGCTTTCAGTGGGTGGAAATAACATTCAACAATTTTTGCAGCGGGTTTTAACTGAAATTCGGTTCAACGGTTACGATGCCAGCGTTTGCCGCTGAAAAGAATATTTGAAAAGAAGTAATACGAGAGTTCCTTTGTGATATTACAGACGACTCGTATCATAAAACATTTTATATTGTCTCCTGGCGTCTGCTGAGAATTTTTATAGTGTCTTTTGATATAAAATTCGACCGAGTGATCTAGGAAAAATCCGGAACCCATGCAACGAGACAGATATCTTTGTAACAGATAAAATAGAATCGATAACAAAAATTATTTGGATAAATAAAAATTATCTTCGCGCAAAATTGTAATTGTAATTTTATTTCGTTGTACTCGTGATTGATTAACAGGTGAATGAAGGATAGACGAAGATTTTATTGCGAGATACCTAAATCTGCCGTGATAACCGGTCAAAATTCTGATTAAAAGAAGATAACATTATCGAATTATGAAAATATGTGACTACGTCTATTTCCTTGATCGAACGTTGCTGTTTTTCAAACATAAATCTTTCCAATCGACTTCCTGTAATTACTCTCCGAATATAGACGTTCCTCGAGCGGAATTTCCGTTTTCTAGTAAATTGCGCCCACGTCAACCGGACGGAATGTTTACAATGGGAAAAGTTTACGAACCTTCGAAGTTCCAAACATCTTTCCAACAATGATACCAGCGAAGTCAATACCATGACGGAGTCGAGAGTGTTTCTGATTTCATCGTAACCCAGTTTCCTTGTCCCTAACAGCCAATGAATATACGAGGTGTAGCCTAAATATCTAAATAAAACATTTTACGAGAAACAAATAAAAATATGACCCCTCCATCAAATAAATTATTATAGGCTGGTCTCATTCCTCGCTTATCGTTGCAATAAAATTCGACCCACTTTCGAAGCATTCATGATATTATATACAGGGTGTTGTAGGGAGATTGTAGAGGCCAAAATAAGCCGAAAATCAAGAATATCAATTTTTCGTTTGAGGCTTCGTTAAAAAGTTATTAACAATTAAATTCAAAAATTTCAAATCGTTCTGGAAAAATTATTTTTGGCTGTGGGGGTCAATTACAATCATTTTTGATGATTAGACATACCTCCGAATTCTTACGCATTTTTGAGAAAAAAATTCGAGAAGGTGTGAAATTTTTCGAAGGAAAAAAAAATTTCAAATCGTTTTGGAAAAATTATTTTCAGTTGCAGGGGTCAGTTACAATCATTTTTGGTGAATAGACATACCCACGAATTCCTACCCACTTTCTAGAAAAAAATTCGAGAATGTGTGAAATTTTTCGATGGAAAAAAAAAATTTCAAATTGCGCTGGAAAAATTATGTTCGGTTGCAGGGGTCAGTTACAATCATTTTTGGTGATTAGGCATACCCCCGAAATCCTACCCACTTTCTAGAAAAAAATTCGAGAAGGTGTGAAATTTTTCGGGGAAATTAAAAAATTTCAAATCGTTTTGGAAAAATTATTTTCGGTCGCAGGGGTCAATTACAATTATTTTTTATTAATAGACATACCCATGAATTCCTACCCACTTTCTAGAAAAAAATTCGAGAAAGTGTGAAATTTTTCGAAGGGGAAAAAAAATTTCAAATCGTTTTGGAAAAATTATTTTCGGTTGCAAGGGTCAATTACAATCATTTTTGGTGATTACACATACCCCCGAAATCCTACGCACTTTCGAGGAAAAAATTCTTTACCGAGAATCTAATGTGAGGCCAAGAAATTCCCTGATGCGAATCTTTAAAATATCATAACTTCTGAACGAATTGGAGGATTTTAATGTTCAAAAAGGCAAACGACGCGTATTTAAATGGAGAATATGTAGAAATTCTAACAATATTGAAAAAGTTGTTCTTTAACCCCGTAAAGTGAAAAAACCCCCATAAAAATGGTCCAATTTTCAAATGGCCATAACTCCTGCAATAGTGAATATATTTCAATGAAACTTTTTTCTGAAGTAGTGCTCATGGGTACCTACAAAAAATTATTAGACAACTTCTCTGTACGGGATCAAACAAATTTATTAAAAATGAAAAACGAATTTATAAGAAAATTCGACAGGGGGTAGGTGCCTAAATATTTGACGAAAAAAAAAAATTTCAAATCGTTTTGAAAAAATTATTTTCAGTTGCAGGGGTCAATTACAATCACTTTTGGTGATTAGACATACCCCCGAAATTCTACCCACTTTCTAGAAAAAAATTCGAGAAAGTGTGAAATTTTTCGAAGGGGAAAAAAAATTTCAAATCGTTTTGGAAAAATTATTTTCGGTTGCAGAGGTCACTTACAATTATTTTTGGTCATTACACATACCCCCAAA